TTGCCTTAAATGTTTTATATAATTTGTAACACGTTGTTATTAATTTCACAAAGTGAACAAATTGAAAAGAACGTGAAAAAAAAATCTACGTTCTAAATGAATTTTGTCTCACAAATGTTAAGCCTATTGGATCGACATCCACATCTTTACTGTTTCCAGACCATAAAATATAGGGTTCCAAAATTCCCTGTTTTGCAATAATATAAAATGTATATAATTATAAAGTAATGAAGAATTTATAGTAAGATGTAGACCTGGAATAAAACTTATGAAATACGCATAATTTATATTTAGTTTATAGATAATCACTATAAAGTCTGTCAGTCATAAATATTCTTATCTTTATTTTGATAATTTCGTTCATAGCTTTCCAATATATTCTTCTTCTTCTTTAAATACAGCCTTTAACTAACCGATGTTTATATTCTCACTAATTACACTTATAATATTTTTTATATTAACATCGGTCGGGCGTGGCCTAACAGTTAGAGTGACGGACTGTGGATTCTTTGGGCAGAATCGCGCTCCTCTCCACCAATCCATCGGGATTTAGGCCTTGAAGACTTGAGAGGGTCAGGTGCATATGACCTCTCACGCTCTTCTCTTTCGAGCTGTGGATGCTTTATAAAAGTGGCAGCCAAATCCCACTATTCGTTTAGAATATCCCAATAGTTGGTGGTGGGTACTTTTGACTGGCTGTTTTCCTCTAGTCTCTCACTTCAAAATTAGCCCTTGTGTAGCTTTACGCAAATATCTGAAACAAATAGCACTTCATGTAAATACCAAGCAGGGAATGATTGTCGTAAAAGATGAAACAATGAAGAATTTAATAAATGGAAAAAGAGAATTTACAAAAAAATAAATTGTGAATTTAAATTCTGATTATTTTGTTTGAAAGATGCAACATATTAAGATCAACGGTTTCCTACTATTTGTTCGATAAACGTACGTGTGTAAGTATTTATAGAAGTACTTGTTGGAAGCTCCCCTTCCCAGTGGCACAGCGGTATGTCTGCGGGCTTACAACGCTAGAAACTGGGTTTCGATACCCTTGATGGGTAGAGCACAGTGTAGCTTTGTGCTTAACTACCGATAAAGAAACAAAATTTGTTCAAATATAAATATATATACATGTGTGTTTGTGTGTACATAAATAAGGATTTAGTATACAGATAATAACATTAAGGATTTATCTACTTGAGTTTTTTATTATTATTAATAGTAATATTATCAGCAATCGGTTATATATGATGCTGAATTTTGATTAAGACTGCTTTTAGTATTTATTTCTGTTGCCCGATATTATCGATTCTGCAAAGAAGTCGAATTTAGATAAACGTGTAAGAGGCGTTATGTTCAAAGCAGTGGTTCTCAAACTATTTCGTCTCAGTACCATTTCGGTGGTGCAAAAGACCCCTTGTACCACCTACCGGTCCTACCCACTTGTTCTGTTCACTCGTATGGCCTCCACTTATATTTTGAACCAGCCCTCGGATCACCTGGATGACCTCCTCTTTATTTAATTTATTTAATCGTGGCAGGTGTTTAGTTTTAAAAGGAAAGAAACTGGGGCGTTCGGGGATATTACGTATATTTATAATGGGCTTATAATTACTGTATTAACAAGGGGAGTTAAGGGCTTTAATATTTTAATCGTGATTTAAATTTTTCGGGGAGAACTGGTAAAAGCAGAGACGAAGAATTTCGACAATTTTCCACAAAGACAAACGGTCCGTAGTCAGGGTCATAGGTTCTAGATGACCCTCTCGGACCACACTTTGAGAATCACTGGTTTAAAGTGACATGAAATAAAAATTTTTGGTTGAATATTTTTATCACGTAAAAGGTAATTCTATTTGTATGGCATTTCGAACAGGACGTGAAAAAAAAAAACATGAGATCAAGAAAGTTCAAGTTTCCATGACTATAATTTTCGTTTTAATTTGATTCAAGTAAACAATTTAACCAAGTATAATATTTTGTTTAACTCGAACCACTCATTTAAAGTGCTGTTGGTTACGGACACCTGATAAAAAGAGTCCTGTCACAAGTGGCATGCAAATAATTATACGTTTTAAGTGAAAAGAGAGAAATATTCCGCTGTCGCTTTAATATTCTTTATTAGATATTCAATCCACTCCTCTATTTTAATGGGCCGAACGCAGCCCGGTGGTTATCGTGCCTGATTGTGTATCTGAAGTTCCGTGGTTTACGTTCTGTTATTGCAGTAAGAATGTAAAAAAAAAATTGCTTTCACACTTTGGAGCTGTGGGTGCGTTATAAGAGTGACGGTCAAACCCCATTATTCGGTCTGATGAGAGTAACTCAAGAGTTGGCGATACTGACTAGCTCCATTCCTTCTTCTCTATCGCTTCAAAATTAGGAACGGCTGGCACAGATAACCCTCAAATATATCTTTACACAAAATTCAACAAAAAACAAATAAATCTCTGTTTGATTATGATTTGGAAAATTACTTTATGACATCTCCAACACACATTCATCAAAAAGTAGAGATCTTTTAGGCTAAACTTGTATTCATAAAACAAAAATAATTATATGTGAATACTTTCCGGCTTAGGAATTTACACTATTTTAGTATATATAATGTATTGGCCCGATTATAGGGCGATCTCGAATATAAGGCGACCCCCCCGTTTTCAAAAACCATGGGAAAGATGAAAAATGAGTGTCATATCGTCCTTTTTTATGTCCGCAAAATCAGTACTATAACTGAACAGCCTGCAGGTGAATTAGTTGCAAGAACTAGCGATGACCTAGTTGGCCGCGGTTATAAAGCGACTATGAATTTTACAGCCTAAGTATTTATCGAAAGACATCGCCTTAAAATCGAACCCAATACAAAGTCTGGTAAGGTTTGGTGGCTAGAGCGTTAGGCCTGTAATTTACGGTTCGTGGGATCGAAACTCGTCGCCGAAAGTGCTAGCCCTTTCAGCCGTGGGAGCGCTATAATGTGACGATCATTCCCACTATTCTTTGACCAAGAGTGGGTAATTTTAATTATCCTCCTTCCCTTTAATATATCACTTCAAAATTAGGACGGCTAACGCAATAAACAAATAAACAACCCGCATATAGTATGTCCGGAAATTGTGTTAACAAATTTGTTTAATGTACTTTTGAATGTCTCTGAAACACGGGTAAGCAAATTTTTAACATAAATTTCGAACACCCTTTACATCTAACCATGCTTATTTAACTGACAAACTTGCTGAAACACGATTGTCATCTTCTGAGGTCCTTAGATTCGATTATTTGTTAAATTAATTTTATTACATGACATTAGTAACAGCGAGGGTACCTTGCTAATGAAACAAAGCATTTTGATCATTATAAGATAGAACGTAAGAAACAAGTATTAACTTAGCTTTATTCATTACTGCATTAAAGTTTAGGTTCTGCTTGCTTTGAGCGGAAGCTAGTACTAAATTATCCTTATTTTAAAATGAGGTTTTAGTTTCGAAGCTATGTCGAACTGTACAGATCTTGTATTAAAACTTTAGTACAATGATAACGTATCGTTATAAAAATCGCAACTCAAACCGCCTTGGTCTTCTTTATTACACGAAGTGTACGAGCGAATATGAAACTCATCAAACAAGAAACTAAAGTAAATTAGTGCCATTAACTCGAAATGTTGTCCAAAAATTTTCTAAGGCAGTCCACAGAAATCTCTAATTAAGTTATGAGGCATTTCTAATATAACAGGTCTTCTATAACTGATTGAACACGTTTTAATAACTTTTAAATGGAGGGAGAACTACACGGTAAAGTACCTACCAGCTGATTCTAGTACACTATGGTTTTATACCACCTCTGCGTGACCTCTATCGACCTTTATCCACTTCTTTAGGCTAATTTGTCATTTTCAAACACACTAACAAGCACTGTTTCTGGAAATACATTGCTTGCTTTACTCGTAAGAGCCAAAAGATCGGCTTACGTTACAGCACGTGGGGCTTCAGTCGTGAACTTGATATGTGGCTGCACGTGGGGGTGATGCTTCATCTTGCTGGAAAAAACACGTGCCAAAACCACCATCACCTTCCAAATGCCGAAAGAAAAAAAGCTCTCCTGTCTCTCCAGGTAGGTGACAGCAGTATCTCAGTTACTCGAGTGACAGTTTTTTTGTTTTTTTTTATATTTGCACTGAGTTGTCCAGTGCATCTTTCGGGGAGACGTATCCCCTTTGCTTGAACTGCTTATGCCGTTGCTTAGTTTCATTATTCGTAGCTGGCGTTACCAGTTGCCATTTTCGTACTACCAGTTAACAAATTCCTGAGACTTAATTTTATCCAAAACTGGCGAGATGAAATTAAACTTAAGGATTTTTAGACCAACATATGTTCTAACGCATCTGTTTCTTTCTTTAAAACTTACTTAGATGCATATATAAGCCGGTCTTGTTTAGTGACGTGCCGGACAGTGAAACTGACCCGTTGGCGCAAGAAAAAAAGAAAGGCCTCCGCACTTTGGGTAGCCCAAGAAACTGCTTGCAGAGGGCGCTGTTGACTAGATGCCTTCTATCTAGTCTATGAATTCAAAATGCGCAGATAACCCTTGCGAAGCTTTATTGGGAAATACTGGAACGAACACCCTAATCATCACATGAATTGAGTATGATTAAAACTCTGGATTATTCACAGGCATGAAAGGCTTGAGATGAGTTAGGATCGAACAATATTCAAAATTCATTCAAACAAATTGTAAAAAAAACCCACTTTTTAACTACGATATTCAAATTAGCTCCTGCCAGTAGTTTTCTTTACACCCTTCTAGTTTTTTACATTGCTGTTTAAAGGTTCTTATTTAGCGTTGTGTCACACTACTGACACTTGTCGTGCTCAATGTGTAGAAGAAAATGTGTCCATAATTATGTAAATGTGTAGACATATACACACGCTATTAGATTTTTGATGTGGTTTTTAAAAATATTTTATATTCAGTACTTTATCTTTTACTTTATCACATAATTACAGACCATCGACCCAGACTTTGATCCTGTGATTCGTGCTTTTCCTGAGGATCACCAGAGGGCACAACAGAAAGAGACAGCCCTAGATGAGTTGCTCAATGAGCTTCAGTGTTTTAACCAGACAGAAGAAATAAGACAAGATCCTTCTCTTTGGGCTCATGGGCATTTTACTTCCCACTACTCTGAATCCTCCTCCCACGGTCTTTCTCGACAGCATGCCAAAGGGCATTTAAAGACGGGAATCTCTTCCTTGGATGATGGAAGCAAATTAGCTATAAGCGAAGGTGGGATTCGTCGTCTGAGCCCTTCTGCGTTAGACAAAAATAAAATTTCTGTTGCTTCTCTGTCTAGTGGTCGTAAAAATCAACATAAACCACCCTACCTAGCGCCTAAAAAAGTGCCCCCTCCTCCACCTCGCACAACTAGTAGGTCTGTGATGCAGTCTTCCAACATATCCACGTTCACGAAAGACGACGACCTTATAGACGCTACCAGTTCTTCCCAGCACAAGACTCAACACGTCAGCAAGCGAAGTCAACCAGGTTTACAGTTGCTCAGGTCTGCATCTGATTCATCCCAAAAATCAACGTCTAGTGATGGACCCCATTCTAAACCAGTTACCAACCAGATCATTCGAACACGAGCCTTGGATGAGTTCATTCGGAGGGACCAGTCATCTAGTAGCAGCAGTGAAAGTGTGAATTCTCAAGAAGGGTTGCTTTTAAGAAACGGTCCCTCTATCAGAACGCAGCTCGAGCGGAGCTTGTCAGAAGGAGCGGGACCTTGTGTCGTGAACGCTGCGAACTTGATCAACAGATTAATCCCTTCATCTAACTTGCTTCTCTCCCAGAGCCGCCAGGAGATTTTAGAGTACAGACATCAGGAACTACTCGATAAACAAAAACGTTTGCAAGATCAATATACTAAGCTACAACAACTTCAGCGTGCTCAATATCTGACCCGTTCCTCTCCAACAAGTCGGGCGCTCAGTTTCACCGGACCCGGCGATCTCAAGAAGACGGGCAGTGAAAACAACATCTTGTCAAAGATGAAGCTTTCTTTAGTCCCTACCTCAAGTTCTTTGACACAGCTCTCTACAAAAACTAATAAAAATCCTAGCGCAGAAACCCAAGTACCGGCTGCTCAGATGCTGGGAAGGAAACATAAAGCCAGCACACTTCCACAGTCGTCAAATCCGATACACGAGACGGACATAATATAACATGTATCTAATATCTTCCAGGAGCTCAATGTAAAACCCCTGTCATATCGTCGGCTCAAGATTGGCTTCTGCTTTCTCGAAACGTTGATTTGGAATGAGTTTATTAAAGTTGAGCTGAACCTTATCGGGATGGCCATTTGTTCCTTTCTGTTTACGTTTTCTGAAAATTATTATTTCTGACGTTATTACCGAAACCTTTAAATATATCTAAGTTCTAAACCCACAACCCTCGTTAAGCTGCTAAATTTTGGGATAAAGAGATGTGAAAATTCATGCTTATTTTATTTTGTGCAGGATGGATCGCTTAGAAGTACCTATATATAAATATATATATATTTAGAATTAAATAACAGAGTTTAGGTAAGTAGAATCGATAGTTTTTAATGACTAGTCATCTAAAAATCTGTATAACTTTTATCTAGAAAGATAATAGACTTTATCAAACAGTTTCTCTAAACTGCACTATCTCATCGGCAGACAGTTGATCTGCCAGCTATAAATATACCGAGACTGCCTTCACCTTCTTAACCTAAGTGACTTGTCTACATGCCTTCACGCTTCGTATAACGGTATCTGTAAGTAGGATACTTCAAAGTATCAACACTCTTCCAGCTATGACCTGCACGTGTGTACCAAACAGACTGTTCTTTCAGCGATGGCTAAGGAGTGTATGATCGTCAACCCAGTCGGAAGGTCGAGAGAAATTTGACGATTTGTTTGGAAAGAGGATAAATCCTTAGAGTTCGTTCTACCTATCGTCTTTATGTACGTTACCATTGCACTTTCACAATCAAGATACGAGCTGCACAACAATTAAAGCACTTTTTACCTTCACTTTTAATAATAGTGTGAAATGTTATCTCAGGTTGGATATTTTTTAGGTAATTCATTCTCTTCTATCTTTCATTGATGATAATTAATAGTTAAAAGTTATCCATAACGGTTTTTTTTAAATAAAAAGTTATTGAAACATTTCAAATACTTGAATTCCCTCAGTTAAAACATCATCCGACCCCTAATACATGTCGTGTTCCTTCAGTGAAAACATTATACAACCCTTAATACATGTCGTGTTCCCTCAGTGAAAACATTATACAACCCTTAATACATGTCGTGTTCCCTCAGTGAAAACATTATTCAACCCCTAATACATGTCGTGTTCCCTCAATGAAAACATTATTCAACCCATAATACAGGTCGTGTTCCTTCAGTGAAAACATTATACAACCCCTAATACATGTCGTTTTCCCTCAGTAAAAACACTATACAGCCCCTAATACAGGTCGTGTTCCTTCAGTGAAAACATTATACAACCCCTAATACATGTCGTGTTCCCTCAGTGAAAACACTACACAACCCCTAATACATGGCGTGTTCCCTCAGTGAAAACATTATACAACCCCTAATACGTGTCGTGTTCCTTCAGTGAAAGTATTATTCAATCTTTAATACATGTCGTGTTCCCTCAGTGAAAACATTATACAACCCCTAATACATGTCGTGTTCCCTCAGTGATAACATTATTCAATCTATAATACATGTCGTGTTCCCTCAGTGAAAACATTATTCAATCCCTAATACATGGTCGTGTTCCCTCAGTGAAAACACTACACAACCCCTAATACATGTCGTGTTCCCTCAGTGAAAACATTATACAACCCCTAATACGTGTCGTGTTCCCTCAGTGATAACATTATTCAATCTATAATACATGTCGTGTTCCCTCAGTGAAAACATTATTCAATCCCTAATACAGGTCGTGTTCCCTCAGTGAAAACATTATTCAACCCCTAATACAGGTCGTATTCCTTCAGTGAAAACATTATACAACCCTAATACATGTCGTGTTCCCTCAGTGATAACATTATTCAACCCCTAATACATGGCGTGTTCCCTCAGTGAAAACATTATACAACCCCTAATACGTGTCGTGTTCCTTCAGTGAAAGTATTATTCAATCTTTAATACATGTCGTGTTCCCTCAGTGAAAACATTATTCAACCCCTAATACATGTCGTGTTTCCTCAGTGAAAACATTATTCAACCCCTAATACAGGTTGTGTTCCCTCAGTGAAAACATTATTCAACCCCTAATACATGTCGTGTTCCCTCAGTGATAACATTATTCAACCCTTAATACAAGCCCCCTTTTTTTTTACCCTTTCAGGGTAACAACTTACACTTACAAACAAAATACCGATTTCTTCACAAAAAGAGTGTAAAAGGTTTAAGTTTTATAACTAGATTTATTTGAAATACAAAGTGCTCAAGAAAATCTGAATACACAATCAGGTGTATGACAGGTAATAACTCGATGGATTCTTTAAACAACTTGTCACATGAACGTTATGGAATCTTTCAATGTGGCAAAATGCCCCCCGTGGCTCTCAGCGATAATTCCGAGGACTTATGATGCTAAAAGTTGGGCTTCGATATCCGCAGTGGGCAGAGCACAGATAACTAATTGTGGGTTTTTGTGTTTAACAACAAACAAATATGTTACTAGATGGTTAAGCTCACAAGTCTCGTATCCTTAAATAAAATTTAAAAAATCGTGAGATTACCTAAATTAGTATTGAAGATAAATCAATTATAAAATTTAAAAAAAAAGACTTTCATCGTTTCCTGTAAAATTCAAACACGCTTGATGGCTTTATAACATTTTAATTTTTCATAAAGTGTCACTTAAAACTCTTGGTGTTATAACCCAATCAGCTACACGAATTCATTTGAAGCTCTAGGCCTCATCGGCTTATAACATAGGTGAAATGTTCCATTGCCATTAGACCATTTTTCTCACTGAAAAACTTTAATGGGCTTGCTAAGTATAAAGTGACAAAAGCATTTGAAGTCATCTTGCCTAAAACAGATTATACTGCGCTAATATTGACGTTATCCATCTTTAGAAATCAATTCAGACGTTAGGTAAACACACAGATAGAATAGAATCGTGAAAAAAAAAAAGATAATAAGATAACGTCAGTTAAAACACGAGTCACGGTTGTAACTTCAGTACACGCCACTTAAACAGTTCAGAAAAATTATGTCGGTTATTACACGTTTATGTTTCCTACGTTCTACTCAGACTTGAATAATGTTTAGTGGGTTTTCTTAACAGAACATAGGACGAAAAAGTCGTCCTTAATATCAGATAATTCAGGAGTTTTCTTACGATAATTATATCTAGGGTTGAGCTATACACCAGCATCAATGTTTTTTTTTAATGTTATCTCTCCATTCAAGAAATGGTATATAAATATATGTAAAAAAAAAGCTGATTGTATATTATGATTTTGTCTTGTTAAAACAGTCTATAAAAACTTTATTTTAAACAATAAACTCAAAAAGTTCAAAGTACTATATATATTGTAAAGACTTTGAGTTAAATATCAGAAAATTATAACTTTGGTGTTCATTGTTATGTCTGGTTATAAATATATAATCTTTTCTTATATTGTTGTTTTAAATCTTTATTTCTGTTAGCAATCTTAACGTGTATAAAGATATATACTGATTGTGTCGTTCATCTTTATTGTAGCAGGTGAATCTTCCTCTTTCATTTATGATTAAAATAAAATTAATTTAAAAGATATTGTCTGTTTAAATACGTTTTTTCTAGGGGTGCATATCTCATCATAGTAGTCGATACGACACCTATCTAGATACAGAAGTTTTACCAACGGTTTGTTACAAAGTTTGGCAGTCTTGTGTGTAATTTATTATCTATATTACTGACA